GAGAGAGAGAGAGAGAGAGAGAGAGAGAGAGAGAGAGAGATTTTTACCGGATCAGGGTGGAAAACTGCTGTATCATTCCGGGCAGCTCAGCAGCAGTTCCATAGTCGGTGTCCTGTCTGAGGGTCTGGCTGTTGGGAACAGTATGTGGTCAGGCTGGGGTGGGAACAGCACCGGAGCTTCCCATCAGAGCAATGCTCGGGCTTCCCTCTGTACCTGACTGCATAGGTGCCTGTGCTGAGCTCCTTTGCCTCAGCTTTCCACAGAAAGTCATCAAAACCTTGCACTTTTTCTAGGAACAAAGCTGCAAGCGACCGAGCCTTCTCCATGGTGGCCACCTCTTGTTCTCTGCTGCGCCTGTCAATGCTGGTCAAGTCCACTGTAAGCAGAAGATGCAGGGACATAGGCAACCTGGTCCCTGGAGTTCTCTCCACCCTCTGGGAAGGGACTGTGATGCAATGGTCAGAGCAGAAAGGTGGAGACCTGGTCCCTGGCTCTGCCTTATCTGACCACAAAGGCAGATGCCTTGGGAAGTAGCCAACAGCAGAGGCCCCAGCCCTACCCCACCCCCCCCCCCCCCCACCATTACAGAGACATTCCTAAAGTGGGCAGGTGCCTTCAGGGCCAGATATGTCATCACAGGTAGACGCTGGCTCTAATTTCGGAAATATATATATATATATGTCTGTTATTGTGAATTAATAATTTGGCCTCCCAATTGGCCAGGGTGCTGGGACCAGCCATGTACATTGTTCACTGCCTGTGCTAAGGTGTGCCCCAGGAGAGGCTAGGGAAGCCCACCTAGCTGGGGAGCCAGGTTACTGGGGGAATCTGAGAAGATTCACCCCTGCACATGACAGTCCCATCCTATAGCTGAGAATAGGTTCTGCCCTCCCTCCAGTGCCCCCACAATGACAGAAAGTGCCAGGCCCAGCCGCAGCCAGAGCAGTGCTATCCCCTGAAGACTCCAGGACTGTGCACGGCTGGGCTGTCCTCTCCACCGTTTTCCCTCATCTGTATGCATTCCACAAGACAAGAGAAGATGTTTTGAGGGAGGGAGGGGCCTATGAACCGCATAGGCTCCCTCTGTGCAGGCTATCGCTCAAATGTTACATTTGCTGAGCACCCTGTGAGCACCCATATCAGCAGCTCCTGCACCCCATATTAGTGACAGCCTTGGGGCTAGTAGACAAGGAACCTATCCCTACTCCCTCCAAACGAAAACAGAAAAAAAGTCCGTGTGTCTGGCATGGTTACTTGGTTTTGGGCAGCCCTCCCAGGCTCATTCAAACTTCCCCTGGGAGCCAGGTTGGCAACTGTCTTCTGCCCCTTTATCTGAGGACACTGGCCAGAGTGTGACACAGGGAAGTCGGGATGGCAACCTGGGCATGAAAGATGACTTGTATGAGAGTTCAGTGAGGGCATGAGTTCACAGGGCAGGGAAACAAGCCAGGAGCCTTTCCTCCTAGGAGAGCCAAGGATGCTGGGGTGACAGTGTGGGTGGAGTGACCAGAGTCAAGGCTGAGGGCCAGGCACAGCAATGGGAACTCTGGGTCTGCCCCACAGTAGTGCTAGAGCACAGTAGGGCAGGGCTGAGGTTCCCCCACTCATCTGCAAAGACAGCTGACCTTGGCGTGACAGGAGACACCATGAGGGTTAAGCACTTTGTCATCCTAGAAAGCACCTGGGCTATTCCTCCGCACTCTGGATGGGTGTTTTATAGGCAGGCGTCCTGAAAAGGCCACTGTTCCCCATGAATGAAGTGGTTCATGGTGTTCTTTATGAAAGATTTAGTACCTGGGACCCCAAAGAAAGCTAAGGCAGTCTATGGAGCAGTCTATATTCAGAGACTCATTGGCCCTGTCCTGGACCCCTCTACCCGTGTTCTGTGGCGCACAAAGGCTTGTGTGTGTGTGTGTGTGTGTACATATACATGTATACAATTTTCTGCCGTCTGCATAAAGGCCACAGGTGTACAGATGGATCCAAGCCTCTTGGATTATGTCCCGGTTCCACCCATCTGCAAACTTCTACCCCTTCCTGTCCTGTTCTGTACAAGGGAGCAATTTGTCAGAAGACTGCAGCACTCGTGCCTTGTATTTGACCCTGGCAAACTGACCAGTTTCCCAGTTTGCACACTACCACTCCGTCCTGACTCCTCCTCATCTTGGGGCATGCATAACAGTGTCTTCCCTAGATCTTTCCAGTAAGTATTTTGTGCTTGTTTTGCTTTCTTTTGCTTGGAGGGGGTGTCAGCAAATGACTGCACACCAGGTTCCAGGCCACTGCCTTACGCCCCTACTCACCGTAGAAATCGGCAGGGTTGCTATAGCGAGGACAAGGGTGGCCAATTGATGTGAAGTACTGCACCATGTGCTGGGCCGCCCCCAGGTAGATAGGGGTGCCAGATGTCATCAGAAGGACCAGGTCAAATAGCCTGAAGATGTCAGATCGAGGCTGGTGGAGGGAGATGAGCACTAGCCGGTTGCCTTTGGCCAGGCGGGACAAGGTTCTCACCAGGTTGTGGGCTGTGAAGCTGTCGAGGCCAGAGGTGGGTTCATCCAGGATGAGGATTCCTAGGGATATCGCACAGGGAACCCGATGACCACTCCACGGGGCAGGCTATGGGCTCAGGTCCCCGGCCCTCAGGTTCCCAGGCCTCACCTGGGTTCCACAGGAGCTGCACCCCAATGCTCACTCGTCGGCGTTCGCCCCCGGACACCCCACGTACATAAGTGTTGCCCACGCGGGTGTTGGCACACTGCCGCAGCCGCAGCTCCGCAATCACGTCTTCCACCTGAGGACAGGCTGGGCGTTATGAGCGTCCGAACTCCTTCACTTAATGCAAAGGAAGGCTTCTGCACTTTATCTTCCTACATCTTTGTTTGGCGTCCCAGCCCCGCCCCCATGTCCTCAGGTTCTGAGCAGATTCGCCCTGCAGAGCACACACTGTGGACTGGGAACCAGACCAGATACTTGGCTCTCCATTCACATGAAGCACCAGAAAAATCTTACACAAATAAACACACACTTGTCACCCACTTGACAAGATGGGGCTAAGTACATTGGCACGTCAGGTGGGTTGGTTAAACTATCCAGTTGGACTGGGTCTTCTGGCAAATCAGGGAAGTCTCAGACAGCAGGGATATCATCCAGCCAACTGGTTACCCTTTTGTCACGCTGGGCCTGAGAGAAGGTCCTGGGCAGGCGCATCTGGGCAATGAAAGTCAGAGTCTCTCTGACGGTCAGGTTGGGGAGCAGTTGGTCGTGCTGACGCACATGCGCCACACACTTCCTCATCAGCTGAGGCGTGCTGAGTTGCCCGTTTATCCAGATTTGTCCTGATTTCATCTTGCCACCATGGTCTCTGCCTGTGATCACGTCAAGTAGTGAGGCTCTCCCGCAGCCTGCAAATCCGAAGATATTCCTGAGGACAGAGTTTCTGCAGGGCTTGCCCACCCGCTGCTTTCCCCTTCCCCGCCCACTCTGGAAGTGCCAGAACTGCGCTTCAGAAGAGACCAAGCTCAAGGGAAGCCAACACTGTTCTTAGATGTGGGTGGGGCAGCCCAAAAGGTTCACGGTCAGGCTTTTTTCTTCACATCCAACTTGAGTGGGTGGGGACGGGCTGACAGAGGTTTCAGATAGGCTGGACTCCAACCGCTACAAGCCTGCTGCTGTACCTGGTATGTGGTCCCTCTCCTACCACTAACCAATGGCTTTCTCCCAAGTTGGGGCTAATTTCACTACAAAGTGTAGCCATTTGTTAGCTGAAAAAAAACCTTGGCAGCATCTCACCATCGTTTGACTCCGCAATGGCTTTGTGGGAATGGCTAATTTGGAGCGTCCTTGAAGAATTCAAAACTCCAACCTACCCATTCTGGTGGCGTAGCCTTTAATCCCAGGAGGGGAACCTTTGAGTTCGAGGCCACCCTGGTCTACAGCGTAAGTTCCAGGATGGTTAGGGCTATACAGAGAAACCCTGTCTCAAAAACAAATAAACAAACAACCCCCCCAAAAGAAAAACAAACAAACAAACAAAAATTACAACCTATTTTGAGAAAAATAATCAGCAAGCAATGCATAGGCTCCCGTATCTATACCCTTCTCTCATGTTTAAAATCCGTGTCTTTTTCCTCTGCCTCACAATGGAACATTATGATGTATTGATGCCTATTAACTCGGAGAAGTGAGCATTGGATCTAGTTTCCAAAAGCATTCGATGGGGCTTTTACCTCTGTATCTAATTTTGTTATTATTTGTGAAATGGTCTCACTACGCAGCCCAGCTATCCTGGAACTCACTATATAGACCAGGCTGGCTCAAATACAACTGAGATTGCTGTGTCTCCTGCCTCTGCCTCCCAAGTGCTGGGATTAAAGATGTGCACCGCCATACCTGGCTCTCCTATGACTGTTTTAATTGCGGATGTGATCCTACCTCCAGCTTGGAGAACACCCTCCAAGCTAGAGACAAAGTCTGTTTGGGTCTCCCAGGCAAGGTTTTGGTTTCCCCACTGTGTAGGGTTTGTGGAATTAGTAGCTTTGTTTTCCTTTTGTAAACAAGGCAAATGCCTATAGACAGTATGTGACAATTCTTCCTTGTCATATGTCACATGTTGCCTGTCATATCAGAGCCTTGAAGAGCAGGCAGCTTGTTGGCTGCCTGCTGGGCATTCCCCATTGTGAGCACAGGAGACTGTGCCAGCATTCACAGGTACCAGGGATCCCCAGTCAGAGGGCAGGAAGATCACATTTCCTAAGCGAAACTGTGGCAAAAGAATGGAAACAGACTTTCTAGCAAAGAGTGCCTGGTGCATTTGGGCAAATGCTCTCTGCAGAGCCACGGCACTCAAGAGCCTTGTAATTTGGGCGCCGTCTCCTCAACAGGAACTTTATTAACTGCGAACGAAATCCTTTTGTATGGCTGATTCTACAGAACAAGCTAAATGCTTGGAGCTAATATTTTAGAATAATTTTAAAAATTATTATGATGGCTAGTATGCATATTCATATTCTCCCTGTGTGATAGTATTCACAGTGATTAACGTCATGTATAATGACTACAGCTTTCTAAGAAAGCCTCAACAATTTCAGACAAGTAATCGTGAAGCCAAGCTGAACCTGAGCGTTATTCAGTGTGCATTCTGCTCAGCCTCTAGGATCTTCACTTTCCTAATTAAAACTCAGGGATGCTGCTGGCTAGGGGCTGGAGGGACACATGCTCAACAGTATTCAGCATCATGACTGAGTAATGGCTCCTGTGTCTCCCAGGTGCTCCCAAAGACATAGCCAACAAGAAAAGCTATCAGACATTATACATCCAAATACCCTTTGCTTGTTTAGATCAGCATCAGGGTCAGGGGCAGGGTCAGGGGCTGAATGAGTATGCATGTTGTTTCAGTTACAAAGTGCGTTTACATATTGTAGCTTATTTGATCTTTGGTTAGACAGTAAACAACTCTATCAGAAGAGTGTAAAAGTTTGGAACAGATGTTCAAAGCATTGAGCAATTTTTCCTTCTGGAAATGATTAATTAAAAGGGATAAAGTTCGCTCTCTAATCCCGTGTAGAGGAATCCCAGGAAGAATCAAATGCAAGTGGAAGGTCTGGCACTGGTTAAATTCCTGTCTTTGGAAGACTCACTCAACTTTTTTGCAGTTAGTGTTCTCACCTGTTAAATAAGTGTGTGTGTGTGTGTGTGTGTGTGTGTGTGTGTGTGTGTGTACATGTTCTCACAAAGAACACTCTAGAAATATGGAGAACTGGATGATTTTAAAATCTTTTTCCTAAAGCACTTCCAGACAGGAAGGGTATAAGGCAAAATCCAATATGGGAAACAAACGATTCTCCAAGCCCTCTCATCTATCTTCAAGATTCTGTGATTTCAGGTTTGACCCGTGAAAGTGACTGCCCGAGAGACACTTCGAGGATCTGGCTCTTTGTAGGCGGTTGAAAGTTCTGCTGACTGTGGAGGGGTCAGTGGTAGCTCAGACCTGCAGAGTCATTGTCTGACCATGACCAGACTCTGGCTGTGCAGCAACGACCTGAGCAGGCACCTGTGGCTGGGGGAGTCTCTGAAAAGAACATCATGTTCTAAAGCTGCCTGTGTACTGTCTTAGTCCAGTGTGAACTGCAGGCAGACACTATGGCCAAAGCTGGTGGACTAGAGTCTCACTCAGGGGCACACCAGTAGCAGCATCCAGGAGTTGGTGGGTGTAGGAGGGGACATTTGAACCCAGGTCTGTCTGACTCAGAACCTGTGTTCTCAGCCACTTTGCCATGTTACTTTGTTAGTTCAGAGTTCTGCACTCAGGATCCATGAGGCTCTTTTATATCATAGGGGAGAGACACCATTGCCCCCGACAGCCCTATTGGTAGAGACACCACTGCCCCCCTTGGCCTCTGTCCCACCGACAGCCCTGTCCATTGTCCCCGACAGCCCTGTCAGTACCTGAGCTCCCTATGATGGCCAGCATCTGCCCACTCCTCACTTTGAAGTTCAGATTTCGGATGCCCAGGTCACAGGAGTCTCGGCTTTTGTGAGACCTCCAAGGTATCTTGAACTGAGCTAGTTGCTCAAACCAAGGCACCTGAGAGGCAATGTCCACCTGGAGGGAGAGGTTAGCGAGTCCTTGGGAAGCCAAACCACTCAGAGGGCTTCAGCAGCTTCTGCTGTGTTTTGTATAACTTCTCACATGGCAGTGAGACCCCACCGTTCTGTTCAAGTCTAGAGCTATGGGGATGGGTGACCAGAAAGCATGCAAAATATCAGAAAATCAGCAAGTGTTTACCAGCTGCAAGTCACAGTAATCACGTCATGTCACTGTCCCATCTGCTGTTCATTGCAAACATACGGTGTGGGTACTGTGGTCTGTTTTACTGACCAGTTCAAAGCAGTTAAGGAATTTACCAAGCCCATACAGTTTACAGTGCACGGCAGGGCAGAGAGAGGTTGCATAGTGGCTCGTTCCTCTGTTTAGACTCACAAGCACAAGACGACTAGCCTGGGACTCTGAAGTTCACCATCCCACTTGGGCAGCATGTCTACCTCTGGGGAAGTGGGGGATCGGGAATCACTGAATTCTGACAAAAGCATTCTGGAGACCCTCCATGGTTGCCTTTGCAGTCTGGATGTTTTATCAGCAATATCATAACATATTTTATAAAAATAGACCATAGGTAGGTACTTGGATAGATAGATAGATAGATAGATAGATAGATAGATAGATAGATAGATAGATAGATATAGAGAGATAGATGATAGGTAGATGATAGATAGATAGGTGATAGATAGATGATAGGTAGATCTAAGTGGATGAAATCTCAATAAACTGTCATTTACTTAAGAGCATGCTGTTAATTCCCTAGTTTTGACAATTACTATGTAATTTGCAAGATGTTGACTTCAAGGGAAGCCAGACAAACAGTGTCTCCACAAATACCGTGTTTTGCTGTATGTGTTTTCTACAGGTATATACACGCACATGTGTGTGTGGAACCCAGAGGTAAGTGGCATTGTCTTTAAACTTCATTGTTTCCACTTTACTCTTGATACCTGGTGTCTTGCTGAACCCGGAACTCACAGATTTGGCCAGCTGAATGATATGTAAGGACCCTCCTGACTGTAGGGCCACAGACATGTGCCACTCAGACCAGCTTGTCTTCTGTGGGTTCTGAAAATCTGAGTTCAGACACTTTACTGAGTGGACCATCTCCCTGGCCCCTTTGATATCTGTCATCGAATACAGATACATAATATGTTCATCTATCTATCTATCTATCTATCTATCTATCTATCTATCTATCTATCATGTTTGTATATACAAACATATTTTATGTATATGGTAAACATATAATGTTATAAACATAAAGATATGTGTGTATGAATGTACACACCAGATAGATAGATAGATAGATAGATAGATAGATAGATAGATAGATATTTGAAATTTTAAGTTATGCATTCCAGAGACATTCCCCACAGGCCTTCACAGCGAATATTAACATCCTCACAAAGGGTTCTACCCTTTTCCAAACCTCTAGCTGCAGGTGAGGCCTGCACCTAGGATAGACTGAACTTCGTTTTGGGGGTTAGAAGACCTCCAGGGTGGGCTCACCCTTCCTTCCCCTGAACATTCTGTTAGCTCCTCACTCTTCTCCCCTGAACCCAGGCATGTGCCCCTACCTGGTAGGTAAGATCTCTGACCTCCAGAGTGTTGGACCGGCCACTGTAGGTGAAGTACAGGCTGTTGTCACTTTCAGAGGAGAACAAGCTGTCCTGTAGGCCCTGCTGGGAGACATGACAGATGAGGGACATAGAAGCAGACAGGAGGGTACCGGACAGGCATGGGTAGCTGATGGCGTTGTGGTCGAGATCCCACACTGGCAGGAAGTGGGGTCATGTAGGTGTACAGCACGGCTTTGAGAAAAACATGACCATTGATGGGCCCTGGGCTTCTCCAGGACAGCTCCAGCCTCAGAGACCCACAGCCTCAGGCTAGCGCCAGGATCTAAGCTGCTTAAGATGGATGACCCTCCAGATTCCAGAGGGGAGATCTGAGCTGGGAGGGAGGAAGCCCTTGACTTTCACTTTCTGAATCTGGCGGGATATCACCTAATGTCAAATAGACACAGCATGAGAAAGACACAGACAACAGGAAGTTGGTTCTGGGTATCTGTGAAGATGTCTCCCCCAGGGAAGTTTTATCATATGTTGACGAGGAATTTTGTGCCTCAAAGCCCTTGAAAATCCTTCGGGGAAATTTCAGAGGAAGCCCTGCTGTCACCATCATCATTGTCATCGTCAGAACCATCATCTCCAAATGACTATAGTGCTGTCGTTATTGTTGAGGTAGTGGTATGTTTGTGCTCCAGTGTGACCATTTGATACATGTAGTCACGTATGAATATCAAGTGCAGCAGGCACTGTCCACATTTCTCATTTCCTTGTGTTGGAAACAATCACAATCTTCTTTTCTGGTCTTTTGTTTTAAAAGTGAAAATTTTATTTTATTTTGTGTGTATGACTATTTGCCTGCACGCATGTATGTGCACCACACACGGTACCCTCAGAGGTCAAAAGAGGTCACTGGGTCCTCTGGACCTAGAGTTATGGGTGGTTGTGAACCATTGTGTGTGATGGGAATGGGGCCCAGGTATTTTCAGGTGCTCTTAATGTTTGAGTATCTCTCCAGCTCCATTCTCTGATCTTTTTTTTTTTTTAACGTGCTTCAGAACACTAGAATTTATGTCTCCTATCTCATTTTGATGCCCAGAATATCAGGATATGACTGTCCACCATCCCCTCCCCTGTAATATAATTCATCTCTCTGAAGTAGGAATATACTAGAGATACCTTTTGGGGTTTTTTTTTTGTGTGTGTGTGTGTGTGTTGGGGAATCAAATCCATTGCATCAAATATGCTAGGGCAATCAGCGTACTGACAGAACCATCACACCACATCCGGGGTCCCTGGGGTTTCTTGTTTTCAAATCAGTTCTCTTTAGGAGAGATCTTAGTTACTTGCATGGCACGGGAATTTGTTCCTAGACACTTGTACTGATACAAAGTTTCCATTGGCTTCAGGGATGGAGGGGCCGCTGAGGGAGGAGATCTCTCAGGTTACTGCTGTCATGACTAGAGAAGTGTGAAGCTCTGGGGTTTAAGTGCCCAGCTCGGCCACTCTGATTGACCCAAACCCACTGACCCTGCCCATCATGGGTTTCCAGGAGCCTCACAGGCAGCTTCTGAAAGGAAAAAGAAAAAAGAAAGAAAGAAAGAAAGAAAGAAAGAAAGAAAGAAAGAAAGAAAGAAAGAAAGAAAGAAAGAAAGGGAGGAAGAGAGGAAGGGAGGAAGGGAGGAAGGGAGGAAGGGAGGAAGGGAGGAAGGGAGGAAGGGAGGAAGGGAGGAAGGAAGGAAGGAAGGAAGGAAGGAAGGAAGGAAGGAAAAAATTCCTGTTTGGCTTGTGGATGACTTCTGTTCCATTTTAAAATATTTTCCTTGGCATCCAGGAAGGATTTGTTAGACTCTTCCTGAGGTTTTGACAAATTCTCTCTATTTTTCAAATCCTTAAATATCTATTCGGCTGACACTTTAATCAGCATGACTGTCAGAACATCATTTGAATTTGTGACAGGTAACACCCTAAAAAAGTGAAAGCGGGTTTATTTGTAGGTAACCAGCATGGCTCCTGCTGGGCTACAGTGTAACGTCTCCTTGTATTAACTTCTGGTTACATTCCTGAGTCAGAAGCACAGACGCTCTGAGAGAATCCAGAGGGCACAAAAGGGAAAAAGAAATGTGCAGAAAACGGTGGCTGGTGGTGACAAAAATGGTAAGTCTCCGGCCCAAGGCACAAGCCTGATCTCACCTGCCTCTGCTAAGGGCCCAGGCTTTCCTATCTCTGTTCCTGTCCATGGTGTGAGGAGGCTGTGGACCATGGGCCCTGACGCTCTGGTACTCAATGCCAGAATTCCCTGTATAGATAGCCCTGCTTTCCTCCTTCCTCCCCCCACCATCTTTCTGAGTATGGGCAGTGCCAGTCTCTGGAGAAGGCCTAACTAGAATGTGAGTAGAAAGAACGTGTGGTCACTGTCTGAGTTCTTTGTAGAGTGAGTGGGCAGAGAAGGGGATGGAAGGCCGTGGCCTGGACCAGAAGCCAGCTCCTCAAGAAACACTCAGTTTTCTAAATTTGCACACAGAGATGAAAGGCTGGAAACCACTGGACAGTTTTTAGCTTGACTGACAGCTTTTAAGTATGAAGGCACAGGGCATGTCAGTATCATCGGTTTCTCCCCAAGACCTGGAGTTGTCAGTGGTGGGCCATCACAGGGAATGCACAACAGTGGGGCCTCCCAGGAGGAACTTGTACATGGCAGGACCTAGGCACACTTTTGAATATAGAATTCTGACAGCTCATTGCCTCCTTTGCTGTGGTGATTATCTGAAGGGCAAAAGATCCTACCCCCCACTCTCAAGCTACCACTGATTTTATATTCTATTCAGGAAGTGAGCATCAAAATTCCAAGGGACAGATGCAGTAGGAGTTATTTTCCCAGAGATGTCTGCCTGGTGGGGAATTCTGACAGCAGAGTTGGCTGCTGTTGTGGTAGTAGGATTGGTGAATCCCAGGCAACCCCGTCTCACCTAGAACAGGGCACCAAGGCTTCCCTGTTGAATGTGGCCATCCTGTTCTGGTCTTTCTCTCCAGAAAAGTGAGTGAGGCATAGAAGCTTGGGGTGGAGTCCTTCTCTGCCCAGTCTTCTAATAGTGCCCTTCTGCTTCAAAGCCTGCCCATAACCCCAGTCAAAGGCCATTTATCAAGCAAACATTTCTCTGTTTAGATGAGGAAGGAAGCCTAAGAGCTCCACTTCCTGGCCACCTGGCCGCTCTATGTTCACTCCATCTCTCTCCCTGATCATAAGATTGCTAGCATACGATTCTGTCACTCCCAAACAAGCAATCTGTTGTTACCTCACCACTGTCTCTTGACTACCACTGAGGTTCTTGGTCTGACGCTCACACGGGCCACTGCTCTGTGATGGAATGTCATTTGGAAAACATCGATCCCAGTTATTCACACGAGCATGTTGCCGGGTGGGAAGTGACCTCAGAGGCCTCCTGGCTCCCGAACCTGCCCCCTCAGCCCGCCAACTCTGAGGAGACAGGGCCCTGCTGTACCCCATTTCCATTCTGCTTGAAGTCCAGGTGGTGAGTTAGGACTCATCCTGTGGTAGGAAAGAAAGGTCAGTTTCACCCTGCTCCACCCCGGGACTAGGAGATTAAGCTTACGGAAGCATCCTGAAGTTCCGTCCCGCTCCACAGCTGGGCCTCCTCTTTGGTCTTCTCAGCCATGACCTGTGGTGTTTGTGCCCTTTGTGTGGCTCCTGAGGCCTCCTCTGCTGCCGGGCTCTCTGTGTCTTTGCTCCTTAGAGCTGAGACACCTGAGCCCTCCTCTGTGCCAGCCTTTCTCCCAGCATTCCTCTCTGGCAAGCCCTCCTATAAACACACAGTGTGTGTCCTGCCTATTGTCGAGATAAGGACACTCTGGCTAAAGGTACATCAGATAATGGCCAAATCATTGGCCAAATTGGTGAACTGTTGTCTCACGAGGACTCCAGGGCTGGGTAGGATCAGACAGGGCACTCCCATTGGCTCCTCAGTTAAAGCTGCTCTGGAGCTGGACAGGCCACTAGAAAATTCACTTGCATTTGCTTCCTGCTGGCCATGAGTGAGCTGCCCTTTCTGAGTCCAGAGGCAGCCAGAGGGCCTCACAGCAGAGGGTCTCAGAGCTCCCTGGAGGAAGGCTCCGTTTCAGGCCAGGAAGGCTCGGTTACAGGCCCGGAGGCGCGGCACAGCTTAGGTGTCCTGCATGTGTCCTTCAGCGTCAGGTAAGGGGACCTCACAGCCAAAAGCTAGGCTTCTCACCCTTTGTAATGTCTTTTCCACAAATGGGTGGCTGGGCCTGTGGGCTTTGGGCTGCCTGTCTAGCAGATCAAGGTGGAAGTGGACAGTGATTAGCTCCTCCCCCTGCCCAGGGCAGAGCTAGACATTAAAACATGCCCTGCCTGACGCACTTGTTGCTTCTCACCAATTTCTGCTCTATCCATTCCTTGGCTTGTCCACCACCTGCTGTATGTAAAAGGAGAAGACTTGGAAAGTGGGGGTGCTGGGGGCACAAGGTGGATGAACTCTGCTGAAGGAATGCAAGGTTCACCTCAAGAATAAATACTGTGCAGAGTGCCAGCTCTCAGCCAGAGACCCAGTAATCAGAGCAGCTAATGGGAGGCACGCTCCTTGGGTGGTAGCCAATTTGTCATTACACCTCCAAAGACCACAGAGTGTGACATAAGGCTGAAATAGAGTTGTCAACCTGTCCAGGAGCAACTGGGATGGGATGGGGCTGGGGGTGGGGCCGGGAAACAGAGTCTGGCCCCTTCCAGGGTCCTACTCTGCCTTTGCCCTTGTGGAATTTCCTTTAAAGCAACCGTGTTGGGCCCTGGTGGGACATCAAATCACGGCAGCAGAGGTGGGACAGGCAAATCCTCAAAGATGTCTCCTTGTACATGGAGAGTGGCCAGATCATGTGCATCCTAGGAAGCTCAGGTAAGCGCCGGGACCTCCTGTACTTCTAAGGCAGACTCTGGGAGGTTTTGGCTCAGTCTAAGTGCAATGTTGAAGAAATAAGTTTAAGTTGTAGAGAGAAGGCCATGCATTTAGCATTTGAACAAAATCTAGTAACTTGACTGACTGTGAATAGAACCTGGTACCAAAGTGAAACCTTGAGAATGACCCCTGGGAAGAGTGGAAAGTCCTGCAAGACATGCAAATGCTTCCTTTGTCTGTTTGACTGACCATGGTCCTGGAGCTCAAGTCCAGAGCCACAAAGTCCCAGCTGTATTCTCCTGTATTTCTCCCTCCCTCTCTCTCTCTCTCTCTCTCTCTCTCATATTCACTTTGCATCCCACTCACTGCCCTCCTCCTAGTCACTCCCTCCTGCAGTCCTTCCCTCCGTCCCTCCTCCCCTTCTTCTCTGAGAGGGTGGGGATCCCCCCCCCCGTTATCCCCCACCCTGGCATATCAAGTCTCTGCAGGGCTAGGCGCATCCTTTCCCACTGAGGCCAGACAAGGCAACTCAGCTAGAAGATGTACAGGGAATAGCTTTTGGGATAGCCCCTGCTCCAGTTACTCTGGACCCACATGAAGGTCAAGCTGCACATCTGAGCAGGGAGGCCTAGGTCCAGCCCATGTATGTTCTTTGGTTGGTGGTTCAGAACCTGAGAGCCCTAAGGGTCCAGGTTAGTTGATTATGTTGGTCTGGACAGTTCCTAACCCCTTCAAGGTCAGCCACCCAGCTGTGTTTTCAATTGATATCTCCACATCTGGAAAGTTCTTGTCAAGGTGTTTGTCAGGCAGGACTTAACTCGGATTCCTGACCCTACTTGTCTTTTCATTATGATGGTTATCAGACACACAGTTGAGAACAGAGAACACTAGAAAAGAACTCACGTTAATACTGAGTCTCACCAAGCACACCGTGTTTTCTTTGAGCCTCTCTCTCCAGGAGTTAAGCATCACACACAGTGTACTGAGACCACCTCTGTGTATTCACCATGTCCTGTTCTTCTTTTCAGGAGAGATTTTAACCTTTGAACCTGACTTCCATGTTTGTTTTGTGTTCTTCCACTAACCAGTAATTATCCCCTGAGGGGTTTCCTCCCCTGTTCCTGCAAAGCTTATAGCTGTAACTCCTTCTGTTTCCAGCAGCTGAGGAGGAGTATGCTGGCCCAAAAGAGGGGCTCTGGGTGGCATACCTCAGTGTTCACAACAATGGGTTATCCTGAATATATTCATTTAAGGATTAGAGCCACAGGACCCTCTTGATTGAGCAACCACTAGTAAATTGTGGCATTTAACTGTCCCCTTGCCTTGCTCTTTCCTAGAAACAGGCAGTGTAAGTCTATGGTGGGAGTCAGGTGTGGCACTGTTTTGATATAGCTAAGAGTGAGCCCCAAAGTTCTGTGACTGAAGTCCATCCTTTCTCTGAAAATGAGAGGCCTGGTGCTCCAGGGAGGATGGAGGAACATCAGGTAACCCTTGGAAGAGATGAATGTGGTTCATCCAATGTCCAAATTGATTTTCACCAGAGAAAGTTGATGTTAAAGAAGGCCTGATATCTGAATCCCCCTGGCTCCTGTCTCATCCTGCAGCAGCTCGGTACCCGTTGTCTCACAATGATACCATCCATGGTGCCAATGCAGCCAGAAAGCCAAACACATGAGGCTATCCCATTTGAATGCTAAGTCTCCAAGACTGTAGGCCAACACACCCATAGACACATATGCAGAGACCATACACACATACACACACACAGACTGACAGACACACATACATACATACATACATACATACACACACAGACACACACAGAGACTGACACACACACATACGCCATACACATACACAGATACACAAACACACACCTACCATACACACACAGATATACACACACATAGACACACCCACACCCCTCACACACACCACACACACACATATACCACACATGCAGACACACACACCACACACACACACATATACCATTCACACACAGAGATACACACAC